GACGGACGTCATTACTGAGGTACCTCCTCACATCTGGAAAGCAGGTCCAGTCCAAGCCTCCCAGGACCCCGTCTTGTCGTAAGGGCTTCCTCGTGAACCGTTCCTCCCGAGTGGTAATTTTGTAGATCCGTCTTCTTCCTTTCAAGAGAGTTGGGGCTCTCAATTAGTCCACGAGTGCAGTTACGAAGACCTCGAAATTAGTCCCGAGGCGGTTGTAATGCTCCGGCGGGGCGGTGTCAATACCCCGTGGTGGTTGTGGCTTCCACCCGGTACCACGCCCAACTCCTCCCTCTGGACAGTGCCGCTCAACTTAACGCGAGCCGCCGTGGTCCATTCCAAGCGGCCATGCCGCCCCTCAACGACATGGCGTGTGGTTGGGGAGAACAAAAGAGACTAGAAAAAAAGAATGGCTCTCTCGCCCATTTGGTTCCCTCACCCTTTGACGTTTAGGCGTTCAACACGAGGCGCAACTTGAAATTCCCGACTAGAGCTTGTTGTCGGGGTCAATTCCGGACGTCCCGCACCGATCCAAGTGGTAGGTGCCTTGGTCCTTTAACCCTCATCCCCTTACAAGAGGAACAGGTCGCGCTGAGACTTTTTCCCTTACAGGGATAGAGGTCTTGGGGTCGCGGTGCGAGCACCGGTATCCCCCTCCTGCTGAGGCCAAAGACTAGAAAAATAAAAATTTATTTCAATGCTATTTCCAAGTCCATTTCAAGTTGCCTAGGGTCCCCTGCTTATGCAATGCAACATTCAATCCTCAATCATTCAATCCAATGCTATTTCCAAGGCTGATTCTCATGGCTGGTCAGACAGCCTCTTATCAACAAGGCCACCCCCATGGCCGGTCTGGCGGTCATTCTCTGAATAGCCATTTCTCAAGACTGACCCTTCCGCTCACTCAATCCTCAATTTTCTCATTTCTCAACACCCAATCTTTGTGACCGTTCCAACGGTCCCTGCCCTTCTCGGCTTTAAGGCTCCGCCTTCTTTATCCTATCCTTCTCATTCACATCTTTCTTCCGCCTCCTTGACTATTTCAGCGGCCTACCCACCGGCCTTTTTCCATTTCCTCCATTCAACTCATTGGCTATCTCAACGACTGACCCACCGGCCTTTTTTCATTTCCTCCATTCAACTCATTGGCTATTTCAACGACCGGCCCACCGACCTTTTTCACCTCTCTCATCCATCCTTTGGCTATTTTCATTGACCGACCCACCGACCTTTTCCATTTCTCTCATCCCATTGGTTATTTCAATGACCGGCCCACCGACCCTTTCCATCCCTTCCTCTCATCCACTGGCTATTTCAATAACCGCCCACCGGCCCTTTCCATTTCTCTCATCCCATTGGCTATTTCAATGACCGACCCACCGACCCTTTTCATCTCTTATTGCTCATTCCAGCACGTTCTCAATCAACCTTTCTCAATCAAATATGCACGGGACCCCAGTGCCTATCTAAAAAGGAATGACCCTTGTCAGGGGCCATTCCCGAACAACCTGGTTAGGGTCGTTCTTTTCCATTATCAAGTCGAACAGCCTGGTTAGGGTCATTCATTTCCATTCTCAAGTCGAACAGCCTGGTTAGGGCCATTCATTTCCATTCTCAAGTCGAACAACCTGGTTAGGGTCATTCCTTTCCATTCTCAAGTTGAACAGCCTGGTTAGAGTCATTCCTTTCCATTCTCAATGTTAGTGCCCGAGGGGGTGGGCCTCGAGGTTACGGATCCCATTTCTGTCTTGGAGGTTAGAAGGTGGTCATCTCATTTTTTGAGTGTTGTTCTCTCTCTTCCATTTCTCATAATAATGTACCATCCATTCCATTTCTCACAGTAATGTACCATCCATTCCATTTCTCACAGTAATGTATCATCCATTCCATTTCTCACAGCAATGTACCATCCATGCGTACATCCGGCTTAGCGTCTAGCACTCGAGTCGGGGCTCGCGATCCCAAGCAGCACTAGCCCACCCGGCCATTCATCCATAACAAAAGACAAAGGCACCCCTTCCATTTTCACTCTTCCTAATCACTCAGGTTTCAGCTATTCTCAGTCTCATTCATGACTCAGTCGGATTAGGCTCCTAGGGAAGGAGTGTTCTTCATACCCCTTAACACATAGGTTCCCTAACCTCTCTTGTACTCGACCAGTCATTCAATGTCATGGTTTGCTTGTCAATCCGTACTCGAGGTTTTTCCCTCTCAAAAGCATAATCCTTATTCGACCCAGAATTCACAGTACACCCTCTCCCAATTGGTCTCATCCCAAGGTAGCTCATCAAAAAAAGTAGCCTCGGAAAAACTATCTTCTATCTTATTGTGACTCAGCCTTAACTGACCCTCTTTTCACTTTCACCGTTAGCAAGTTTGTCCATATTGTACATGTTCTCGGCATTCTCATGTCTCCGCAGACAGAAAAACAGCGATCATTTTCAATGCTAAGTCAACACCTAGTTCCTATTGCTGCCTTGCGCATCGTCTTGCCCAGTTCCTTGTCCACCCTCTTCCTTGGCAGGCTTCCTAACCCCCAGGCCGTAGGTCTCGGTCTCTCTTTTCATCCTTACAATTTTATGCAACTCTGCCTCGTTAAAAAAATCCAGTGGTGTGGCTTCCACCCCTGCCCTTGCAAGTTCCCGAGTCTTGATAATTCATTCGTGCCTGATTACATTGGTTCATTGTTGAAACCAATGACTGGGCGTGGGCCCGAACTCGTCCTCCCATCTAAAAACCCCATCGCCCGGATGGTGCATCAGAGGCCGCCCCTCTTCCCTAGGCCTTGAGATCTCATCCCTCGCATCCCACTCATCCCCGCTGCTGATTTCTATGACTTCTCGCACATCCTTCTCCTCGTCCCCCTCGTCTTCAGTCTGTATGGGGCTATACCCACCAGCAAGGTTCTTTGGATCGTAGGTAAAAGGGATCTCTGTCCCCGTCCCATACCCCTCACAACTGTCGTGATCGCTTCGTCCTTCAAGCGGGCTCTCCCTTGTCTCCTCGTCCTCCTCACGTTTGCTACGCATACCTTGCCTCCCCTCGCTTTCCTTATGCCAAGTCTCACGTGGTTCGCCCCTGTTGGCCCCTTCCCCGTTAGAGACCCGAGCCTTATCTCTCATTTCTGTGTTGCCTCCTTTTTCCACATTTGCCCTTCCCTTTTCGCCCTCACTGTCAGATGATATTTCTATACCTTCTCCCTTGCGGAGGGGTGAGGGTTTCCTACACAAGCATTTTCTTCCACCCCTGCCTATCACTGGTCCGCCCATGAGCGCAATGTACAATTTTCTCTTCGTTGTCCTCCTCCCTTGGCTTGGTCCAGCTTCTTCCCCTCCGGTAGGCCTGTTGATTGCCCCGCTGTCGTTCTCGTTGCCGAATTCCATTTTTGTCTTTTCTCGTTTTACTCCTAAGCCCTATATAACAAAACAACACCCGCAATATCCCTCACACACTCGCGCCTCCCCCCCCTTTAGGCCGGTAGACATTCCCAAAATGCACCCAGTATCCCTCGCATCACGCCCCTTTTATGCATGCAAATGCGTCGTTTGTGACGACCCTTTTTTTTTTTCCGTAAAAAACTATAATACAATGCCCCAAACATCCCTTCCCGTTGTCACACAAGCCAAATATTGCAAACCCCCAAGTCATGCTGCCTTTCAACCTCAGTCAGTTCAAGCCAAAGCGCTAGTCCCAAAAAAATAACAGTCCCACGAACATGGTCAGAGACAAACCATAGTGTGGGCAAGGCTTGTGGTCAGTCTTTAGCTTGTGGCTCATCTGTTTCTTTATCTTCGGCCTCCTGAAGCCATTGTTCCACTGGGTCCCGACTTAGAAACCTCACCAGTCGTTGCCCCGGGAAGGCCCCTTTCAATCCAGTTCCATCCAAATCTTCCAGTTCGAAGGTGTTCGGTCCCACCCGCTTGGCGACCCGGTAGGGGCCTTTGAACCTCCTTCCCAACTGTCCCGACCAAGTACTTTCTAGTGTCGAGTTCCTTAGCAGTACCATCTCCCCCACCTGAAGTGGTTCCTTTCTGACATTCTTAACCTGGTCCCACCTTGCTTTGTCTCTCATTCTACTGTCCAGCACCCGGCTGACGATGTTTTCCATGACCTCCTCATTCTTAAGGATTTGTTGACATCTTGCCTCGATTAACTCTTCAGTGGTCATTTGCGGATCATCATCTAACCTATTCCAGGTAGGTACCAAGGCTTCCACAGGAGAGTCGATCTCTCTTCCGTACCAAAGCTCTTCCGGGATACATCCTGTTGTCCTTTTAGGAGTCATATTCTCTGCAAAGACAGCCTGCTTAAAATACCTAGGTCAGTACCCCAGATGGTCTACTGCGAGCTTTGCAATCGTGTTCTTCAAGGTTCGGTGTCCCCTTTCCACAGGTGCATTGGCCTTATGGTGATACGGCTCGATGAGTTTGATCGGTACACAGAGTCTCTTAAGCATCCCCAATACTTCTTGGTTCACAAATTCCGTCCCGTTGTCTGTTATAAACCTCCTGACGAACGAATGCCTTAAGTAGAAGTCTTCTATCCAGTCCGCCACACTCCTCCCTGTCTTTTTCTTGAGGGTGACTGCCTCCACGAACCCACTCAAGTTGTCTCGCGCATCCAGGATATACCTGTACCCATCCGTTGATACAGGCATGACCGCAAGGTCGACGTGGACCAGATGTCCCGGCCCTAGCACCCGCGTTGGTCTAAGCGGCTTGAAGGCCCGCACCGAGCTTCGTTCTTGGCAAATAAGGCAAGTCTGGCAGTATATGGCGACCATGCCTGCCATGCCTGGCCAATAATAGAGTGGTGTTATCTTTGCAAGCGTTCCTTTGGACGACCGATGACCTCCAGCTAACTCGTCGTGCATTGTCTGGATAACGTCTACTTGCCTAGGTCTTCCGCACACAACCCTTCTGGGCATAGCACCTTCCTCCCTTCGGAACAAATGCCCACCCCTTAGGACGTACCTTTCAGCTTCTTCCCTTGCTTTAATACTGACTTCCGTAGGTTGTTTGTTTCCTACCAACAACAACCCGATCTCCCAAAAGAGCCCTTCGTATGATTGGACATAGAAAAACTTATCCCCGTCCTTGCCCCCATCCTTTCCTTCCTGCATCTGACTTACCACTCATTGCAACTCTTTCCTTTCCCAAGATTCCACTAAGCTCATCAATGCTTCCCGGCCTCCATCGGCCGCCATTACTATTAGCTCCTCCTTTGGTCCTACTATCGCTCCCCAGGAGTCATTTTCTTCTCTGTGTCCTCGAGTGGTAACTGGTCCTTCCCTAAGTTCTGCTACTACGGCAGGTGCCCCCTTCTTCAAAGTCTGGATCAATAGTTCTCCCGATGTGCATCCCTCGTTCATCATTTCGTTATCCACCGCGAGAGTCCCTCCTTCGTATTCGAGGAAGGCGTCTATGGGCTCTGCATCCTCCATCCCTTCGGGAGTGATGCAAACCCGACTCAGCCCATCTGCCTTGTTGCGGATTCCAGCAATCCGTTCGATCTTGTAATCGAACTGCCAGATGAATCCTACCCATCTCCCTACCGTCGGATCTATAGGCCTGTAATTCTTTAGAGCCCCTGCGCCATTCGTCGGATCGATCCTTAAGATGAACCGCCTCCCAAATAGGTAGGTCTGGAAGGTCTTAAGGCAATGCAGGATGGCTAGGACTTCCTTCTTAAATTGCGAGTACCGCCGTTCTGCGAAGTTCGGGGTTCTACTTTCGAACCTAATCGGCCTCTCTTTTCCTCCCTCATCCCTTTGAATCAACACACCTCCTACGGCCAAAGGTCCTTCATCCGTCTCTAGGATGAAGGGTCGTCCTACTTCGTCATTAAAACAAGGCGCGGACAGGGCGACTGTCTCAGATGTCAATATGTCCTTGAGCCTTTGGACAACTCCTTCTCGCTCCTCCGTCCAATCCATGGTTCCTTCTTCCCTGATCATAGCCCGGACAGGCTCAGTAATCTTGGCAAAGTTCTTAATGAAGATCCTCCAAAAGTCGACTACGCCTAGGAATGCCCTTACCTCCGTCGTTGTGCGCAGTGGTGTCGGCCACTGTGATATTTTGTCGGTCTTTGCCGGATCCGGCTTCCTGCCGTAAGCACCGCAACAAAATCCTAGTATAGTTACCTCCGGTACTGCTAGAATACTCTTTGGTCCACTAGCCGTAATGTTGTATACTAGGAACTGGCGGAGTAAGTCCTTGATGTCTTGTAGGTGGTCCCACACAAAACGTCGGATCTCTGGCTGGACTTCCGTCTCGTCCTTTTCGTGCGCGCCTTTGATTGGATTGTCATCGATGTAAGGTTCACATTTTTCTGGGAACATGTCCCCGGCCACGGCGAGCATCCTGCGTTGCGCTTCGGCCACCGCGTTTGTGAATCCCATAGGTGTCCCTTGCATCTGTAGCTGGCTTACGGGGGTGTGCATAGCGGTGTATGGCCTGTCCCAAACATCCAATGGAAGCTGGTCATACCCTGAGTACAGATCTATCAGGGAGTAAATGCTCCGACCGGCGTGCGATTCTGCTAATAAGTCAGCCTGAGGTAGCGAGTCAGCATCCCGGATGGATACCGCATTCAACTTCTGCAGATCTTGAATCCACCTTAGTGTCTTGTTAGGCTTCCGAAAGACGAACCATTGATTTGCGTATGACGATGCCGTAGGCTCCGCAACGAGGGAGTCCATCTTTGCTCGGAGGAGGTCTGTTACTTCTCCTCCTATCGCATATTCGTAGGATGGCCCCTTGTTATTCAAACACTCATGTTCTACCGTGTGGATTCTGACCGGAGGGATCAACTTCGCACCCAGTCGTCCCTTCTGGTGATCACTAAAGGCAAATGCCAGGTGAAATTCCTGGCAGGTCCTTTTGATCAGGCGGGTTTCTTCTTCCGTTAAGAACCCGTCTATCCCTATCTTCATTGTGTCCGCTACCTCATCTGGTATTCGATGTCCCTCCGTCGCTTTTCTTTCTCGGATCACTCGAAGGACCTCTTCCTCCTTCTCCATAGCCTCTTCCTTTGATGTCTCTAGCAGGATCGAGACCGGTTTTGCTTTCTTCCCTACTGGCTTGTACTTTCGAACACTTCCTTTCGGGATCTTTCTCCTAAAAAATGAACAGTCGGAATTGCCCCCGTCGCCTCTACGACTCGTGGTTGAATACTAACTAGTTTCCCATTCAGGCAATATCCCTTTTGCACCTTTCTTTCGAACTTGGCCAAGGCTGCCGAATCCACTCCTACCTTGTGGTATCTGAGGGCCTTGATGAGTTGCAATAAATCGGGGATCTCGAGTGTGATTTCTGGCACGTCTATGCGTACTTCTTTCCGTTTGGGCAGGCTAGCACCAAGTTCGACCTCTGACTCCTTTTCCGCTACCATAACACCTAGGACTTCATCCTCCTGCCTCCTCTTCCTCTGGGGCAGGCCCATCTTGATTCATTCCTTCTTGTTGAATGCTTCCTCAATTATGATTTCTACCCTTTCCCTCATACCCTTTATCCGTGCGAAAGCCTCTTTTCGCGTGCTATCCTCGAACGACGGCGACCATGTTGCCAATTTCCCCTTTGGGGGGTCTCCTCCCGTTCCAAGGAGTCGGAGAAGCTCTCCCCGGCCGGTCACAAGGTCCTCTATGTCTACCATGTACGAGCCATCGTGCAAGTGCATGCCTATCATCTCTACGTTCGTGCACCACGGTCTCCCGAGGATTATGTCGTGGTCCATTTCCTCCATCACGGTCATCCGCTGAAACGACCAGATCGATTCTCTGACCCCTCCCTTCACAGCACACTTCGTGACGTACCCAGCGAACGGGATTTCCCCGCCAGCTCCCCGGATGCTCCCTGTTACTTCCTTGTTTACTGTACATCCCGTGATCGTTGCGAAATCTCTCCTTATGAGAGTGATTTCTGCTCCCCCGTCTACTAATGCATCGGTGTGATAACTCCCGATCTGGATTTTCAATTTCCCTACGGGTAGCGCATGAAAGCTAAGCTTCGTCCCGGGTGGTGATCTCATGACTTCGCCGCCCTCTCGGTCGGGCAAGCTCAAACGAATGTTTGCAAAGGCCTTTTCGAGATCCTCCAAGTCCCCGTGACTCCTCTGAAGGTTAGCCATTTCTTGCGGAGCTTCCTCCTCCCTCTCCCCTTCTGGTAATTCGGGGTTGTTGCCTATTTCTACTCGCCTCCGAGTCAACAGTTGTCTGAGCTCCTTGAGCAACCTAGGGTTAGCCTGTAGCATGGTCTGAAAAGACACCGACACCATGGTTCCTAGTAACTTGCTAATAGTGTCGTTGAGCTCATTCAAGGTCAAGATCGGGATTTGATACCTAAACTTCTTCTTAGCGGCGGTAGCCTTGTCCGCAGGCTCCTCTTCCTTAGGCTTCCCATAGACTTTCTCTGGCTCCTCGGCCTCAGGCTCTGCTTGGGGTTCGGAGCTTCCAGCGACCTCCTCCATAATGGTGTCACGGTTAATCCTTCTCCCGGTCGTCCCCAGTCGAGTGGTTGCGTTCACCCTATCACGTCCGTCGCTTTCCAAAATAAAGTTGGCCTACGGTCCGCGCCCCCGGAGTTGATCCCTGATGATCTCACCCACCAGCTCGGCTTCTACGGCTGTTATTTCCAACCCGTTGAGCATGATAATGGCTCGCCGCATCCCTCCTGGTGAGTTCCAGTTCACCCGTTCCCCTTGTGGTCCAAATATCTCCCCCTTTAATGACCTGGTACACCTTCTTTTCAGAATATCATGGTTGAGCTTTGGACATGCACGCACATAATGTCCTATCGCGGTGTAGTACTTGCATTGCTCGTTAGCAGGATCTCTCCGTCCGAATCCCCGGTTTGCCACACCTGGCGGGACCACAGCTTCCTGGGGAGGGAGGGCAGGTCGAGATACTTGCGCCTGCATAACCAGTAGCGCGTCTTCCATCCTTTCAATCTTATTGTCGACCCCGTGCACCCGTTCATGTAGACTTTCAATCCCCTTTTTTACCTTGTCACCCATCCTACTGGTCAGATCTATGACCTCTCCTTCCTTGAGCAAGGCCAACGTCTCCGTTACTACCGTTTTCTCAGCCAGATCCATTACCGTGCTAAAATTTACATCCCGCGTGTTTACAAACTTGCTCGTCTGTTGGTAAGCTGACAAGATCTTGTCTTTGTCGAACTCGGAGAACTGCCTGAGGAAATATTTGCTCATTATCCGGTCCGTGACCCCGGGGATCCTTAGTGCTACCAGAGTAAACTCCCATAGGAAATCATTGTACGTTGCGAAGTTCTTCCTCTGAACTGCCGCTAGGTCGGCCTCCGTTGCCATTTTCTGTGCCGCTAGGTACTTCCTCATCATCACATCCCGGGTCTCCTTCCAAGACCGGCTTGCGGCTACAATGATCATTATGTCCCGTCCTAGGCTTAACGACACATGCTGTCCTAGATGGTCCAACTTTTCCTCCTCGGTCCATTTTAGTAACGCAGCTAGGTTCTCGTAGTCGATAAGGAACTCCGTGATGTTTGCTCCATCGAAAGTCAGCTTTTTCTTGGCGTCTGCCAGATAGCCTTGATTTTTGTTTAGTGCTCGCGCGAGGGACGACACTATCTTCTTAAGGCCACCCTCGGAGCTGCTGACCTCGCCTGCCACACTGTTATCCGGACTTTCCTTGCCGGCCTTCTGTCCCTTCCTGACTTTCATAGTTCCTTCCGGGTCAAACCATCCCAACACTCTTTCCCTAAGGCTCCAAAGTCCTTCGCATCCTCGCGCTACTGCTGGCGTGATCGGCAGGCGGCTAGCCCTACTATCCATGGCTGGCGGAGTCGTAGCCTTTTCTGCTTCCATCCCCGGAGAGTTCTCTCTCTCTTTCCATCTCTTGCTCGACGTTCCCCCACGGTCACTACCTTTATCCCCTTGTCCAGTCCCACCTTGGCTGGCTCTCCGTTCGTCCCAGTGCTCCTCCTGCAGAGGACCTTCCTCGTTCCCAGTCATCATTTCCTCAATCAATTTTGCCTTGTATTCCGCGGTCCTCTTGTCTATCTCGGCTAGTCTGGGCCTCGTATCCGTGACCCTTACTTTCTTAGGCATGGCTGCTTCCGCGTTTCGGGGGCTTGTCCTATCCTTACTTCTGCCTTCCTTGGTCCCCTGGTCCCTTGCCTGCTTCTCCCGGCTTTCCCCGAGCTTTCCCCTGTGGAGATTTCCTTTCGGTTCCCTTTGGTACCATCCGGATTTATCGATTCTCTATCCTTCTGCCCCCCTTCGCTTCGCGTGGCACTGCCTTCTAAGCCTGGTTCTCCTTCACTCTTACGGTTATCTGTCTCCTCCTCCATTGCCATTTTGCCTAGAGAATTCCCAGGACACATGCAATGTGAGGTATTTAGGTTCCCTAGGCTCCCAGATCTGTTGGCTTATCTTTATAGCCTCCTTTCCTATCCCTGTTTCCTGATTGCCCTTCCTTAAGGAGGAGCCACGACTGGCCCTGCCGCCCAGCCGAGCTATGAACGTGACTGGGCTTCCTTTATCACAAGCTCGTTTGTAGTGCCCTTGTCCCGTCGGCCGACGCGAGGGAGTCCGGGTTAGGCATCCTGCTAGGGGAAGTTTTCCCGAGCAGTGTTTTCCGTTTTTGACCTTCAGGGTTACGGTCAATCATTAGGAGTTTGCCCCCCCTTCTTTGTTTTTCTAGTGGGTTTTAGCCATCCAGGTCTGAGGCCTCTTTCCTATTCCCATCGGCGAACTTCCGTATGCAGCGAACTATACTCGATCTGCCCTACCGACCTGCCTGCGGATGTTAATCCCGCTCTCGTCCTCGCGGCTCTTCTGGCTCGGTAGGTTCCTCGAATAGTAGAGTCACCCCCGTTAGATAATTCTCCCCTATCTCGATTTCCCTTTGGATTATGCGTTCGCATCCTGTCCAGTCTAGTCGGGGGGCTGAGGCAAGAATCTCTCTTAGGTTCAACAACTCATTGTGGCTTTCCAACAACTTATTTACTAGTCCTTCCAGGTCAACTCATTCTTCAATCGAAGTCTGGTACTTCCGTTTCTTGGTCGTGGTTTCTTCTTTCTTCGATTTTCCTTCCTTGATTCCTTCTTTCCTCCTTTTAGCCACAATCTCCGCCTGCTTGTCTTCTTCTTTCCTAATCTTATCGTCGTCTTCCTCATCTCTTTGTACCGTGATCGGTGGTTCTTCCTCCGCTAGCTGGGAGGTTTAGTTTGTTCCTTTGGAGGATTGCCTCCTCCCGGTCTTCACGTAGCGTACAGAAACGAACCCCTCACATTTCTCTAGCCCATGCTAGTTTTCGCAGCCATGTTGGCCCTCAACATCCTTGGGTTAGGTCCATTTGGTCCTTCTCCTGGTCCTTCGCGTCCCATGATAAATACCTTCGGATATCTAATCCCTTCTTTCCCAACTTCTTCACATATTCCGCGAAGCCTTAGGTGTAATCTTTGCATTTTATCCACCAGGTCCTCCATTCTATGAAACGTTTCTCTGACATTGATGCTAACATCCTCCTCTTCTGCTTCCTCTTCAATGAGGGTCAAGCGATTGTCCTTGTTTTCTTTAACCTCCATCTTGCTCATTTTCTCTTCTAATTCCGTTATATCTTCCACACGCACAACAAGGTCTTCCTTCTCTTGCGAAATTCGAAACATCGCCGAAGCGTTTGGGCCAAGTTCAGCCACCCGGAGGGCTTCTTTCCTCGTGCCGCTTGGAATGTCCAGACTTATTATACTACCTCTTTTGTCGAACACATCACCATCTATATTCGAGGTAATGAGTCTGTTGCATTTGTCTAGCTTACTGACGTGACACTGTTTTACCGTGTGCTATTTTATCCCACCGTGAGTACAAGTGCACTTACTGTAGTCTACCCATCCTGTTCCGTACCCTTATCCACTCCATTGTCCACTTCCTCTACCATAACCTCTGCCATAACTTTGGTCAAATCCTCGACCATATCCTTGTTGATTTCCTTGTCCCAGTTGATTAACACCTATCTGGGGTGGTTCCCAGTTTCCACCTTGACCATTGCTGCCTCCACTACTTGCCCCTCTACTTGACCCTGATTTCTTTCTAGGTTTCTTCCTCTTCCACGACCTTGCCCACGACCCGGGGCTCTACTCTGATTCTGACCGCCTTGGTGAATTGGTCCTGATTGTTGTTTGCCTTTTTGTTGATTGCGCCCTACTCCTTGCTCGCCTCCCACATTCTGGATTTGTGGCATCATTGGATAAGGTCCTACTGGTCCTTCCATCGGCCATGGTCCCATTGGGAAATACCCGGGCCATGCACCCATCGGCGGCCCTACGGGCCATTGCCCGAACTGAGTCGTGCTTGTTGATGGCTCTTGGCCATACTGAATTATCGCCTGCTGAGAGACATGTCATTTCCCCGTACCTTGTCCTCCCATGGCTAAATTTTTTGCTTTTCTTTGACACTTTGTCTGTTCGACCGCTACCTCAGGATCTGCTTTTTCCTCACCCTCGTCTTCCCCCACTTCTTCTTTTCTCCTTTTTTCCTTATGGCTGCATAACCGTCAATACCTTTCTTGGCGACACATTTTCCTTCAATTCCTTTATCTCGTTCGCCATGTTACTCAATACTTCCCATAATGCATACACGGTTCCTTGAACCGTCCCTACTGCCTTTCTCTTCCTTCGTTCCACCTTGACTTGGTGGTGAAACACTTGATCCAAATCCCCAGTCGCGATGTTTCTCTTAATGGTTTCCCAAGTTGCTTTCCTTTCCTCGGCCCCTCCTCGAGTCAACTCCATGGCCTTATATCCAGAAAACTTCCACAGAAAAATGACACATTGCATTTCTTCAGACAGTCCTGGGACTCTTTCGGCCGTCTTTTCGAACGCATTGGCGAATGTCCCAATCGTTGTGAAATCATCCCGGTTCATGTTATACAAGTGCTCAAGAGTGAGCAGACCGTCACCTAACTTAAACTTCCTCTGCACACCCTTCTTAAACTATGTCCAATTATCATTGAATTTTCTCGCAACTTCTTTCACATCCGGTTTAAACTCCCACCATACATATTCGTACAGCTGAGCAAATTTCTCAGCCGAAGTCAACTGGTTGAAGATCTGTTCTAGCAACTCCAACCAGTGAGATACTCTCTCTCCTTTGAACGAGGATATATCTATCTTTGGCAGGTTTGATTTTTTAATCGTTCTCCTTTCCAGTAACTTGACAATTTCAGCCGCGGTTATAGGTGGTGGTCCTCCTCCATTGACATCATCGTCGCCAAGATCACTCATTTTTTCCCTCTTTTCCTTTTCTCTCTTTGACCGTGGACCTGTCAAGACACACAAAACGACCACCGTCCCATCTTCCATCATGACATGGCACTTTCACTTTTTCTTAACAAAATTCTTATCCTACCAACGGACATGGAGAATCATCCAATGTATTACCGATACCTTTTTTTTTTCCACAGTTTTTAATTGTTCAGCTCATCCAGAGCTACCCAATCCCCGTGCCAAAAACTTCTAACCATACCAACTAATGAGGGAACATCATCTAGGAAGACCTCAATACATACTTCCTTACAGAGTTTGCGTCAATGCTTCAAACGATCTTCCAATTGATAGGTACGTAGATACGCATTTACGATACATAGGATGTTATAGAAGTCTTTTTTTGCTTGTTTCGGCCCCATTTCCAAGTACAAACAGTAAATGACATCAGGTGCTTCAAACTCGAAACCCATTTCAGGCACCGATTGCGCCGCGAGTACTGCCCATTCCTCATTTTCTATTCCCCAAAAAGCCTCGTCAATTATGAATTTGGGAAGGGTAGCTTTAACGTTCATTGTCGGATAGGCGAATTCAGTCGCCCATCTCGCCTCAATTGACCATATGACCACCCCTTCTTCGCCCCAGTACATCTTTCGAGAAAAGGCTTCAAGGGTCAACCCTGTTGTTAGAATATATTTGGAAATGGAGCGACTTTCCCCTATAGCTACGTCAATCACATGTGCCTTCCAAAGGAGGGTCGAGAGGTACAAGGTCACTCTTACTACCGCGCGCCTTTCTTCCGTGGTCTAGCCTGTTTCTACCCAAAGGAAAGCTTCCGGCCCCACGGGTCTTCCACAACACGTGTCTATCTCTTCTCCTTTCTCTATTCCTCGTCGGGGTAGTGTCATTTTAATTCCTCCATCTTTCTGCTTAGGCAAGTTAATCAGGAAGTATTGGCCAGCGGACCACATTCCAGGAACCATTGGATACCCTGTTTACACAACCATACAAAAGAAAACCTTTATCTTTAATTATTTAATCCCTTTTCTACATAAGGTTGCATTTTCCTCCCTCCAATTTTACCACATTTCTTCCCAAGTTTTTTACGCTGGGAGTATCGTGTTATATTAAAGAAGGACAATTTGTCGTACTTCGTCCCATTAGTATTCAAATCTATATGTCAATTCATACTTACGAGCATATGAGTTGATTTGCGATAGTCTCCTCATCAAATCTCTTTCCTCGATTAAATGTTCTATCTTCATGTATAAGTAGTATACCAATAACGAGGTAGACTCGTGATATTCCCCCTCGGGAACCGCCAACGCGGCTTCCGCAACTTTTTCTACTCGCGACCTCCCCCCGAAGGCTTCATTCACTGTAAACATAGGAAGGGTTCCTCTTAGGTATGCGGCTGGCGAAAGGAATTCACAAGCCCTTTTTACCTTCACTGTTCCTATAACTCGTTCAAACCCATTCAGATGCGCATCCCGGCTCCGAGTATCGAGTGCGGACTCCACAAGCCACATTAGCCTCGAAAGAGATCGATCTATTCCTGAGGCTAAGTTTATTATAATAGCCTGCAAATATTCCGATGAAATATACAATGTAACCATTTCTATTGCACAACTTTCGTCTTTAATCCATCCAGACTTAATCCAGACGAGGGCATGTTCCCCCATAGACTTCCCCCAGCAATACCCTGTTTCCTCATTCTCCTCACGACGAGTTGGTAAATTCATCATTAGACCGCTCCTCATTTGTCTGGGTTCCCTGATTGTGAACTGGTACCGAGCGGAAGCCATCTTGTTCTTGTTGATATACTCCACCTATTTGCTCCACAATTAATAATCCAATACCAAATTTCTGTTTAGATATCACTAATATTGACATCTCTCATCAAACGCATGGCTCAGCTAGTCCTTT